CCTTGGCTCTTTTATGACGCGTGGACTTCAACTCCCAGAATTCCTGAGCCAGCCATGCTGAGGACAAAGGGAGAGGTTTCCATGCTGAGCCATGTCGGCTCAGGAATTCTGGGAGTTGAAGTCCACGAGTCATAAAAGAGCCAAGGTTGCCTACCCCTGTTCTAAGCATTCACATAAGGTTGTCCTTTGGAACTGAACCTTTGCCTTTAGGCAGTTTCCAAATTCAGCAGTGCTGGCTTTTCTTTTATTTGCATAGTGTCAGTGAAAGCTGCATTACCAAGACTGATTCTGTTAATGTGGTGTGCAAACAGACAAGAATATGGCTCAGTGCAAGGCAAAGCAGGCTTTCCCGCTCTCATTTCTACAGTATTTATGGAATTACTATTTACCAACCCCACCCCATGTGACTAAGGTTTAGTTCCGAAATGCTTATCTAATTTATTACCACTCTTTCTTCTTTATAGCAAACAGCAAAAAATTCCAGGAGAGCACTTGGTTTTATTTAATAAGACGCCACTGAAAATTGGCGGGATCTTCATCATATTTACGTATAAAACATAGTGAAGAACATTGGAAGCAAAAGAATCTCTCTCCCTATAGGTAGTGGTAATTTTTTATTCTTATACAGGCAGTCCTCGACATATGTCCACAATTGAGCCCAACATTTCTGTCGCTAAGCCAGACAGGTGTTAAGTGAGTTTTACCCCATTTTACGAACTTTCTTGCCATAGTTGCTAACTGTACTTGTTAAATTAGTAACACAGCTTCCCCATTGGATTTGTTTGTCAGAAGGTCACAAACGGTGATCACGTGATCCCAGGACCCTGCAACCATCATAAATATGAGCCTGTTGCCAAGTGTCTGATCACATGACAACGCAGATGCTTCAATGGTCGTGTGTCACTTTTTTCAGTGCCATTGTAACTTTGAATAGTCACTAAATGAACGGTGGTAAGTCAAGGACTACCTGTATTTCCACCCCACCTTTCCTTCAGGAATTCAACTCTATTCACTCCATGCTTTTTCTCCACAACAACACTAGGAGAGCTGTATCATTCTTTGCATCCTTTGCCAATGTTATAAACTCTTCTTCAAATAATGGTGATTGATTATATGCCATCAGGTCATTCTGAACTCTTTTTATTTATTTTTTATTTTTATTATTTAAACCAACAAAACAAAACAAAACATAACACACATATATACACAGTATATATTTTAACAGCAATTTCGTAACAGTAATCTTCTATTATTTACATTTCCCCCCTTATTCTTCTTTAGAGTATTTGTCCTTGTTGCCCCATTATTTCTTATTTGCATTTTTCTTCCTTCATACATTATACACACATTTTCCACTTTTAACCTTTCCACATTTATTCTCTCTTATTTCTACTCTCCAGCCAGTCATACCACTTGTTCCATATTAAATAGTATTCTGTGTCTTCCTTTTCTTTTATCTCTTTTGTTAATTTGTCCATCTCAGCACAGTCCAGGATTTTCTTTATCACTTCTTCCTCTGATAGTATATCCTCATTTTTCCAGAACTGTGCGTATGCTATTCTTGCTGCCGTTGTTGTATGTAGAATTAAGTACCATATTTCTTTACTATATTTTCTGTTTAAAATACCCAGCAAAAAGATCTCTGGTTTCCAGTCTACAGGTTGGTCTATTATTTCTTCGATCCATCTTCTTATTTTAGTCCAGTATTTTTTTGCAACTGGGCATGTCCACCATAGATGATAATATGTTCCGTGTACTTTCATTCTGAACTCTTAACAACTAGATAGATAGGTTTTCTCCATGAAGACCTACCCTTAACCTGGTATTTCGGGTCTTCCAATGATGCTTTCATTGCCACTGTAACTGAGCCCGTCTGTCTTGCTGTTGGTTGTGTTCTTTTTCTCTTTTCCTCCATTTTACCCAGCATTAAAGACCCCAGAGAGTTGGGTCTTTCTATAACGTCTGAAACTTGGATCATTTGACCTTGGTTATTTATGCCTCAAGTGAGATCTCTGAGTTGATTTATACAATGAATATATGCTCCATATCCAAAGTTTTTCTGTTCTTCCGTATAGTCTTGATAAAGAGAAGAGCAGTTTCCAGGCCTTTCAAAATTGTACTTATTTGCAAAATCATCTACCAAGAACCAAGATTCCCTGGCAGGTTTACAGAAAAAAGGTGGGACCTATCAAATCCAATCAAATACAGGTATGGTATATAAAAGAGCAATAAAGCCAGCTATAGTGTAAACTCATAAAAGGAAATAACATAAAGATAAAACTTGCAGAAATAAAAAAAGAACACATTTCCTGCTCTTAAAGGCCATTGCATTCTTATTTTATTCAAGTTCTCATTCACTCAATCATTTATTTATTTTATTTATTTATTTATTCAATTTTTATCCCGCCCTTCTCCTTACGGACTCAGGGCGGCTGACAGCCTTATAAAAACAGATACAACAATAAATACCCAATTTAAAACCTAATTAAAAAGAAATATTTACTATGGCCTATATAATTAAAATTTCTCTTAAAACCCCACTAAAAATTCCCCTAGGCCAATCCCGCTTGTTGGAAGAGCCATGTCTTCAGGGCGCGGCGGAAGGAGGGGAGATCCGGGATCACCCGGATCTCTGGGGGTAGTTCGTTCCAGAGGGTGGGAGCTCCCACCGAGAAGGCCCTCCCCCTGGAGGTCACCAGCCGGCACTGTCTGGCTGACGGCACCCTGAGGAGTGCCACTATCTGCAACTCTCAAGACAAAATAGTGTTTACCAACAATAGGCATGTAAGAGTATCCTTAGAATGCTACCCAAAAAAGGAGTGATTCAACATTTACTCCTTTTTGGGTAGAGAAGAGATTGACACCAGTTTGGACGATTTCCAAACATGGATTAACATTCACCTGAGACTTCCTGAGTCACAGACAAGAAACAGTGTGTAAGCATTGAATCATAAGACAGATAAGAGCTTACAAAAAATGTTAATTTATAATCCAGAAAGATGTTAAAGATCCACGGGTGAAAAACTCATCAGTATTATTTTGAAATGAACATAATTAAAATTGTTTCTCTCCCTGCAGAACCTGGGAAATACATTGATAACCTCCTCAAACCATTTTAGCTCAAAAGATGGCAACTGTGTCTTATAATGTCAATGCAGCATAGAATAGAATAGAATAGAATAGAATAGAATAGAATAGAATAGAATAGAAGAGAATAGAAGAGAAGAGAAGAGAAGAGAAGAGAAGAGAAGAGAAGAAGGAATTGAGCTAGAAGGGACCTTGGACATCTTCTAATCCAGCCCCCGCCGCTCAAGCAGGAGAACCTATAGTACCATCTCAGACAAGTGACTGTCCAGTCTCTTCAATAGGTACTGAGTAGAGAATAGTAGAGAATATTTGTAGCTCAGGACTGAACTGTGGAGTCTTTGATGTTCTCTGAGCTTGATGGTGTTTTTGCAGACATTTCATTACCAAACTAGGTAACATCATCCATGCTAGTAAGGAAATAGGGTTTGCTCTCATTTTATACATTAATAGCTTGCTCTGTCAGTGTTCATGGGAGTTGTCTTGTTGGTTCCTTGATTGCGTGTTGTTTACTGTTAACTTGTTTGTCTGAGTTGGTAGTTTCTTGATTATGGTATTGTTTCTCCTTGATTTTTGGTCTAGTGTTAATCTTGGTGTTAATCTCTGCTCATTTTTTCATAGGTAATTGCTCCAAGGTTTTCCTAAGGTACTACTTAGTGAGGTTGGCACAAATCTATTAATTGCTCTTTCATATCAGATTAACAGATTATTTATAAACCTAAGTTTAGTTGAAGAGTTAAGGCTACTGAGTCAGCAGCCAAAGGTCAAGGTTTTCAGCGGATTCAGGATGACAGTTTATACAGTAAGTGGATAGTTGGATCCCATTGAGCTAGAAGTGGTGAGATCAACTGATTTATAGAAATGTTTGGAAAAGAGCTCCATTATACGGAGACCCTTTTTTCTAACTTCTGGGTGTGCTACATTTTGTAACGCTCACAGAGAATAGTGGGAGTAGCATGTTTGGGAAGGTCTAACTTTTGGAGAAGAGGTTGTTATAGGAGAGCTGGGCTACTCTATGGCAGCATTAAAAAAAAGTGGTGGCAACTTTCCCAACTAACATAATTTATTAAAAGGCCAAAGCTTTGGTTAGCTGTGGAGTCTTTGGTGCTCTCTGAGCTTGATGATTTTCCTACAGACATCAGTGCATTGATGTTACCTAGTTTGGTAATAAAACGTCTGCAAGAAAACCACCAAGCTGAGAGAGCACCAAGGACTTTACCATTCAACTCTTAGCTACCGTTTTGGTCAGCTGCAGCCCACTTTATCAGATATACAGTAGACTCGACTAGCAGCAAATCTTCTTCCCATCCTTTCCCTCGACTCCAAATTTAAAATGGGGGGGGGGGGAGAGAGACGAGATAAAATCAACCCTATGAAGAAACCAAAGCGCTCCTGAGGAAGTGCAGAGTGTATTTACACAATCGTAAAATGCCTGCTGGGCTTAGCATGGATTCTCAGGTCATCCCGTTTCAAGGACGAGTTTTTATTCACCCTGAAGGGTTAATCGCCATCCGGCCCCACCCCAGACGGGCGCTTCCGACGATCAGAGCCGGACGCGCTTACTCCGGGACTTACTCCAACTAACCCACAGTATCCATTTACTCCCGAATAAGGGGACAGACTCCCAACCCGGCTCGAAGGAAGGCCTTGATCTCTGGCCGGCTGCACTTTGCTTCCCACCTGCCCGCCACTGAATTGCATGAGAATTAAAAGCAGTTCCCGGAGCACCAGAAGCGACTCGGATGGATGAAAGGTGGTGCGCGCCCAACAGGAGGCGCGGGAGGCGGAGCTGCCCCGCGGGTGCGGCCGGCAGATTCCCGCGGGGTGGGGATGGGGGTGGGTGGAAAGGAGGGGCCGGCTGTTGCCGCCCCGCTCCTCCGCCAGAAGGTGGAGACTCGCTCAGCCCCCTCGGCAGGTCCCCAGCCTTGCCCAGCCCAGTCCGACCCGGCCGAGCGCGGCCCACAACTGCCCGCCAGTCGCCGAGGTCCGCTCTCTCTCGCCCAGCCACCATGGCAATTCCCGTCTCCAGTTCCGACCCCGGCTATATCCGCACCGTCTTGGGCCAGCAGGTCCTGGACGAGCTGGACAGTTCCACACTCGCCTTGCCGTCGAAGCTGTCGGACGGGCGACAGAAGTCGGAAAAGTCGCTCCGCATCCAGCGGCAAGTCCAGCAGACTTTGGCCCGGAAGAGCAAGAGCTCCCTAGTCAACGGTGAGTGCCTCCGGTCGGCGGGGAAGCGGCTTCCCTGGGCCGTTTCCCGCCGCCCTCCAGCTTTTCAGCGGAGTGAATGATTTTCTTGAAAGTTTCCTTCTCCTTCGCCCTTAAGGTGCGAGAAACACATTTTCATAACGATTCCGCTTCCTCCTTTATTTCACGCGCAGTGTGAGAAACTTTAAAAACAAAAAAAATCCCCTCCTTGCGCAGGCCGTTTTGAGTTACGCCGTTGTAAAACTCTCCACAAAGGGCCGGGGAAGAACCTGATCAAACTTCAGGAAAACTTCGGTGGGAACAAAAAGTGTTTGCGGGAGTTTTCTTGGTGTGCTGTATCCAGATGAGTGCCTATGCTAACCTCTTGCAGCAAATAAACTTAACTTTCTGAAACTTTTAAAGTTTGGGCTGGGACTGGAGGTGTGTGTTTAAAACTAGCAAAGGCACCTGTAATGCAATCTCTTGTTAAAGGGAACTTATAATGTTGTAGAATGTGCAATTTAACAGGTAAATTTTACAGCTCACTAGCAATTTTGCAATTGCTTTTAAAATAGGATTAGATGTGTGAGAACCAGCTTGGTGTAGTTGTTAAGGCACCAGGTAAAAAACTAGGAGACTGTGAGTTCTAGTCCTATTTTAAGCACAAACCTGGCTGGGTGACCCCTCTCTCTCTCCGTCCTAGGAAGGAGGCAGTGGCAGATCACTTCTAAAAAAAACCCTTGCCAAAAAATCAGCAAGGAAAATGACAGAGAGTGAAGTGTATGGATGACAAGGCTATTAATGGCTACTAATTGTTCTGTTAACCAAATAATAGGATATAGTGTGTGGACTGCTGGGGAACCCAAGCTGTTTTCTTGAGATATACTGTATGTCTCATAATGTTGTGGGAACATTATGCTGGTCTAGGCTGAGGATAAAGCAGCCAATTCTGTAGGTAGATAAATCCATAATTTATTTATTTATTTATTTATTTTATTTATTATTTATATTTTTACCCCGTCCTTCTCCCTGCGGACTCAGGGCGGCTTACAGCCTTTTAAAAACAAATACATAAATACAAAAAATACTAAAGTTAAAATGTTAATTAAGATGAAATATTATTAGGCCTTTGTTATTTTTAAAAATTGTTATAAAACCCAGCTAAAAAATAACCCTTAGGCCAGTCCTGCCAGCTTAAATAACCATGTCTTGAGGGCGCG